CCGGGGCGCTAGGCGTAATCCTCGTGATCTGAAAAATATAAACCACGAGGGCTAAGCACAACTGCTTAGTGAGTAGCCCGGGTTGATCCCGGTCATCCCGTTTCCAGCGAGAACGGTGATAAAACAATGGTATACAAGAAACAAACAAGTAATAACAACACGTATTTATATCACATCAATCATAATCACACTCGTATGGAGTCCACCATAGGGTTTAGCCATATACCCTAGTCAAGTCCATGACTAGGAGCGCATCCACGCCCGTCAAGTCCATGACGTTGGCCGTCGTGTCGCACACGACTAAAACACGTCTCAATTACCCGTCAAGTCCATGACGGTGATGGTTGAGTCCACAACCATCCACAAACACAATCATGCTTGGCTCGTACGCACGAGCAAGCTACACACATGGCAAACAACGTGCACATATCCCTATAGTACAATGATACGCATCACGGCATCCGGTCCCAACCGAGCTACCATTCAACGCCATGCAATTCTACCCGCAAACAATCACGCAACGGTCACTCGTATCTCAATATCGCACTCCTCACTACGCTACGCAACGTCTTGGCGAAGGATCGGTTCGATTGATCCCAATCACGAAGTTTTCTCCTTGGGTTGGAGCTTGGTTCACCCACGGTCAAGTCTGGTCGGGCCCGGCCCAACCCCGTTGGTCGTTTCCTCTTTCCCGGTCGAAACCGAAATTTTTCTCTTTCCTCCGAGCTTGGTCAGTCCCGGACCAGAGCCACCACGTGTATTCATTCAATTTGTTCATTTTTGTCTTCTCTTTCCTCTTAGGTTTGGTCTGGTACAGACCGGGATTTGGTCCCGGCGGACCGGATCCGGTTCGTCCCGCGAAAACGGTCGATCGGATGAGTTTTTGGTACAAAACTGACCTGGTCCGCCGGACCAATTTCTGGTCCGGGTCGGACCAGGCTTCCTCAGTCATTTCCCCTCGGTCGGGCGGACTGAATCATTTTTCCCGGACTTGGTCCGGAGCTGACCAGCTCCTGGTCCGGCGGACCGGAACTGGGCAGTTCGTCCGTTCGCGTTCCAGGTTTCAGGTCCGACTTCGATTGCTCATAACTCTCTCATTTCTTATCCAAATCACGCACCGTTTGTTTCTAAATGTTCATTGTAATGTCCTCTTTAATATCCAAGCAATAGATTATTTAACCATTATGTATACAGGCTGAAATAAGATTCGTAATCCATATACATCATGAACTCGCAACACTGCAATTTCCAGTTTTCTTATCAGTTTTCATTCACGCATATCTCCCTCAAAGTTGCTGCCGACACATGTGGGGAAGGCTGTTCTCTCCGGTCCGCCTGACCAAGATTCTGGTCCGCCGGACCGGGACTGCCCAACTCACTTCCCCCGCGCCCTTTTGGTCCGTCCGTGCCCGTTTGGTCCGTCTGAGTGGTCCTGGTCAGCCCCTGACCAACCTTGGTCCGGCTGACCAAGTCCACATTCCTTCTTTTCTTCTTCTTGGTCCGTCCACCAAGCCGAGTCCGTCTGAGTGGTCTTGGTCAGCCCCTGACCAGCCTTGGTCCGGCTGACCAAGTCCACATTATTATTTTTTTTCTTTTTTTTTTGTTTCCTTCGTTCTTTCTCGATCCTTTCCGCACGTGACGATCTCCGTACCTCTTCTCGGCATTGTACTACTAAATTTTGGTGATTTGTGATATTTCTATTTAATTATTCATTTCTAAATAATTAAAATATTCGAATTGGGTTTCGGGGTATTACAACTACAACATAGAGATAGTTGCAGTAAAACCCAGACGCACCACACTCCCCTGAGTGTTAGCCCTCCTATGACGAAATCTACTGATTCAACACACAACCCGAGTGAATCCCCACTCTCACGTTCTGGGTTTGTTCAGATTACTGTTGAGAACTCCCCCTCAGAACGATCTCACTCACTAGAAATAAAAACGTACGTAAAGAACAAAAACTCTTGTACTCTCTGAATGTTAATCTTTTAAGCTCTGTATTTTTCTAACCTTCTTCTGCTCCTTTTATATGCACACATCCAGATCTACTCAGATTCATCCTTATCTTTTATATGATTTGTCTTTATCTCCAAGGTTGTTGGTCAACTCTTATCTTCAAGCTCTAGGTAGTTATCTTTTCCATAAAATCTGCAATTTAGATTCTCTCCAAATATCTCCACAATAAATCTAACTACCTGCAAAAAATAACCTTAACATATTTGTTTGATTCTGATACATCAGTTCAGAATCATGTCTCATCCTTGCCTTCTGGTATTTCTCCATCTTCTGATGTCTCTATTCAATTGGAACCTTCCCCTGAGATAGTGACAAATCATTCTCGCAAGTCACTGTGGGTTACAAAGCCTCCATCATATTTAGCAGAATATCACTACTACTATATAGCTAATTCGAAACCCCCACCTATTACTTCCACAATCCTTTTTCCTATTTTTTCTTACCTATCATACACTCTTTGCACCCAGATTTTCGCCATTTTGTTCTTTCTATAACCACTATTACAGACCCAAAAATCTGTAAACAAGTTGTTGCATCTGAACAATGGAAGCTTGCCATGTTACAAGAGTTGGAAGCTCTGGCTTGAACTGAAACCTAGGAAATTTACTCTTTGCCACCCACCAAAGTCCCTATCGGCTGCAACTAGTTATATAAGACCAAATTTAATGATGATGGTAGCTTGGATAAACACAAGGCTAGTCTTGTTGCAAATGGTTATTCTCAACTCGAAGGGGTTGATTACTGGGACACTTTTAATCCAGTTGCTAAGATGTCGACAGTACGAACTCTTTAGCTTTGGCTTCTGTCAACAAATTGGCCCCTGCATCAAATGGACGTTTCAAATGCATTCTTGAATGGGGATTTGTCGGAGGACATATACATGCTTCTGCTTCCTGGGAACCGTGATCTCAAGGGGAACAAATTCTTGATAATGTTGTTTGCAGGTTGCGAAAGTCCTTGTATGGCTTGAAGCAAGTATCAAGGTAATGGAATTTAAAGTTATCCCAAATTCTGATTGCAGGAGGTTATGATCAGTCTCATTTTGATAATTTCTTGTTTACTAAGACACAGACTCTGGATTTGTTGCTGTACTGGTTTATGTAGATGATATTCTACTTACAGGGAACAATTTCGCTTTTCTTGATGTTGCTAAACACCTCCAGAGTTCGAGTTTTCAGATTAAGAATCTCAGCAATCTTCGATACTTTCTAGGTTTGAAGATTGCTAGATCGAAGCAGGATATTCATATTTGTCAGCGTAAATACATGCTAGAATTACTCGAGGATTTCGGTTTTCTAGCTTGTAATTCTGTCGCTTCGCCAATGGATCTCAAGGATAAATTGTCTTCTGATTCTGGTGATCTTTTGATAGATGTGACTCATTACAGGAAGCTAATAGGGAAGCTCATTTATTTGTCTGTAACTAGACCCGACATCAGTTACGTTGTTCAGAAGTTAAACCAATTTATGTCCAAACCCCGTTCCGATCATCTTACACATGCTCATCGTGTTCTACGTTACCTGAAAGGGGTTTCGACGCAGGGTTTATTTTATCCTGCAGATTCTTCTGTCCGTTTGAGTGGTTACAAGAATGTCGATTGGGCAGTTTGTCCAGATTCAAGGAGGTCGGTTATTGGTTTTTGCATTTTCATTGGAAATTCTCTTATATCCTGTAAATCGAATAAGCAACAAGTTATGTCCAGAAGCAACACCGAATCTGAGTACAGGGCCATGGCTCAAACCTCTTCTGAGTTAACTTGGATCGCTGGTTTTCTTCGAGACTTACACATCAGATTTCCGATGCCTATTACACTCTATTGTGACAATCAATCGGCATTGCACATTGATAACAATCTTGTTTTCCATGAAAGGACGAAACACATAGAGATAAACTACCATTTTGTGTGCGGCAAGCTGATATCCGGTTTTTTGAAGGTACTTCATGTTGTTTCGAAGGACCAAGTTGCTGATGTGTTCACCAAACCATTGGTCGGAAAAGTTTCAGACGTTTGCTGAGCAAGTTGGGCATACGGGATTTGTATCGTCCACCTTGAGGGGGAGTATCGGAGAATTACGTTTGGTTATTCTCACATTCTCGGAGACTCTATTTTTTGTCTCATTTAGAGAGTATACCCGAAGTTTATTTCTTCGTTTATTTTTTTACATTTTTTTGTTTTATTTCTTATTTCTGTTTCTATACCTAGCGCACACTCTTTTTACATTTTTTTAGAATTTGTTAGACATTTGTTATAGAAATTCTTTTGTATAAATATGCATACTGTGATCGATGGAAAAATATGAAGAAATTTTTCCAAAAGCTTCTCTCTTTGGGCTTTTCTCTTCTCTTAAAAAGCTTGTAAATCACAAGCTGTTAACCTCTTTGCCAGCAAATAGAGTGAAAAAGTTGGACTATGAGTAAAATGGAAAAAACTATTAATTCTATTCACTTGAGAAAAATGTCAAGTCTGTTTTCTCGAAGCACAAAACCGAATAGCAGATTCAGGTCCTAGCAGACAAGTTCCAACCGTTGGAATCCATCCCGAGGTGTGGATACGTGTAGAGGGCGAGATATTCTTCCTCCCTTTCGTGATCAGACGAATTCTTCAATTGATACAGGCCCCGGATCGATTGAGGTAAGCGTTCTAACGTTTCTACGATTCATAGAAGCATGGTTCTAGGGTTTCATTCAAATTTTTGTTTTATATCCGCTGCGCAAACCCTAGAATCGATCTCTTAGGAATAGGATTCGCTCTAGAGATCCCAGGAATCCCATCATGACTTTCCTTCGCAATCATTGAACCAAATCACTTTTGAATAGACACCATCAAAGATAAAATCAGAACTCTCCTAAACCAAAAGATTTTTTTTTTAAACACATAAACCCGTAAACCCATTCATGTCAAATGGTTTCGTAAGGATATCAGCTAATTGGCGCTCAGTGGGTGCATACTCAATCAAAAGACTACCCTAATAATCCATATCTTCCACTTGAGTGTACTTTTGAGCTACTAACCTGGCTTTGTTGCAAATAACTCTTTCATCTTCATGCATTATTTTGAGGTAGTACTCACCATTTAAAATCTCGTTCATCTTAGTAGATCCATCTTGCGAAAAGAAATAGACAAACCTAGCCATATCTTGATAATTCAATCGAGGTTTTTCCCTTACTTGTCGTAGGTCATTCACACTTCCAATCACATCATCAGCTGAGTGGTTTCGGCGAACAGGGGGCTTAAGATCATCTTTCGTATCCTCATTTTGCATTTCTTCAGGATTCTGAGATGAAGTGAGATGTACCTGGTCAAAATCTGAATGATCATTGACTGGTTCTCGAGGTATATCAGATATTTCGTATGCTTTCTCTGCACTTTGATGCCATAACTCTGTCCTCGATTGATCATCTTGAAGATTCATCCAAGTATAACAATTACTTATTGTTCGTTTTCCTGTCAACACACACTCATTCAACAAGTTAATGACTAAACATCTATCTTTAGTGAAGTGTACCTGAAGTCCAGAGTTACAAAGTTGACTTATGCTAATGAGATTCGCCTTGAGTCCTTCAACCACATTCACATCAGTGAGGGTAGGCAGTCCAGATGAGTCCAACGTTCCTTTTCCAATGATCTCTCCTTTTCGTCCATCACCAAATATAACATTGTCACCCATGTTTTCTTCAAAAGTAGAGAGTCGACTTTTGTCACCAGTCATGGTTTTGGAGCATCCACTGTCGAAATACCACCGACTTTCTCTTGAATTCAGCTCTGAAGTGCAAGCAACATTGCACCTATTGACATCTTTTCTCCTCCAGACTTGTCTCCATCTTGGTGCGAGTGGTACCTGATTTCTCCTCCAGTAGCAATTTACTCTGATATGTTCTCTTTCGCCACAATGAAAGCAACTTCTGTGCTCACGATACTGCTGTCTCGGATGAACATCAGCCTTGATTCTTGGAGTATTTCTGATTGGAACAATCTTCTCATCTCCAAGATTTTCTCCTGAAACAAAGTTTCCTACTTTGTTAATACTTCCTCCAGTATATCCGAGACCAACATGTCCATAATCAATTCGTCCCATTGTCAGAAGATGCTCTGGAGCATCCTTATTTTCTTCATAGTCTCATCGAACTGACTTTGTAGTAGGATGATCTTTTCTTCTATTTCTTTCAGCCGCTTCTTTAGATCAATGATCATTGTCTCTTTCTCCTTTTGTTCTTTGATCAGTTGTTCCTCAAGTCAATGATTGTTGACTCACTCTGTTTTTGTTCCTTGATCAGCTTTATGTTGATGTCGTAAAGCTTTATCATTTCTTTGTACAGATCTTCTTCACTAACCTCCTCTTCTTGTTCTTTATGTTCTTCTGTGTCACCAAAGAGTGGAACGAAATTTGAGTGTTCTTCTTCTTCATCTTCATCAGATTCAGTTTCTAACTCTTTGTGAGTGAGTGAAGATTTTCCTTTTGACTTCCCAACAACACACTCGTTCTTCATATGGTCATATCCTTTGCACTCATAACATTGAAGATCCTTTAGATTCCTCAACATTGCTTCTCTCTTAGCAATGCTAGGATATTCAGCTTTCCAATGACCAACTTCCTTGCATTTGAGACACTTTCCAATATTTCTCAACTCAGATTTTTCAGTAGTCACTGGCTTTTTCTTGAAAAACCTGTTGAACTTTTTGACAACCATCGTCGTGTCCTCGTCCAGTGATACTAGACCTTGAGTGTCAGATAGCTCTGGGACATGGAATACCATATTTTTGTTCAACGTTGTTGCTCTCTTTGGCTTCTCATACAACTCTAATTCTAATTCATGAGCAGCGAATGTACCAACTGTTTCTTTCAAACTAACAGTGTCTACATTATTTACCATGGTGAATGCAGATTTATGAGACATAAACTTTTTAGGTATACTTACAAGAAGTTTGGCCACCAATTGTTTATCTCGGTAGGTCTTTCCAAGAACCTCAGACTCGTTTGCTAATGCATTCAGCCTCCCGCAAAATTATTTGACACTTTCGTTTTCACCCATCTGAAGCATGTTGAATTGATATTTGATCATATCTCTCCTTGTACGCTTAACACTTGAGGTAACTTCATGAATTAGTTCAAGTGCATCTTAGGCTTCTTTTGCTGACTTACACCTTTGGATCTGCTTGAATTCGTCCTTATCAACAATGTTGAAGATGATGGTTATCGCCTTTGAATTCAATGTCGATGTTCTCTTCTCTTTCGTTGTCCATTTAGATCTAGGCTTCAGAATTTCCTTCCCATCAACCACATGAGTTGGAGCACTCCATCTTTCTTCCACCGAACTCCAAGCATCTTCATTAATTCCTTTGATGAGATTCATTGCCTTCACTTTCCAAAAACTATAATTCTCCGAAACGAGAATTGTGTACGACCCAAGAGCGTGAAACCCTTTGATCGAGTCCATGTTGTGTCTTCCACACTTGCACCGATATGAGAGGACACGTTCCTACGATCGGTGACTGAGCTCTGATACCAATTGAAAAAGTTGAACCCTCAAAGAGTAAAACGGAAAAAACTAATCAATTCTATTCACTTGAGAAAAACACAAGTACAACTCACTTTTTGTTAGAGCTACTCAACACCCAGATGAAACTCCCCCTTACTCACTCTCACAGCGAATTCTATTGATAAAAAACCTTACCAAAACAAACACTCACCAAAGGAATAGAGATTTTTCCATTAGGTTTCTCCCTCAAATCCACGCCCAAAACACTCACCAGAGACAAAGATTTGCTCAATCAGTCTCTCTCTCTCAGACTCACACTCACCAAACAGTGAGTAATCACTCACTGAATCGAAACTCTCTTTTAGTAAAAATATGCTTTGCTCTCCACAATTGATATGCAACTTGTGTCTCTTTTATATAGGCTCCTCCAGTTCGCCTTAGATCTCCACGAATTGATCTGATAATCTTCTCCCTGATTTTTCTCGATTTCACATTTATCTCCAAGATCTCAACTTTATCTTTATCTCTTCAATATTTGACTCTATCTTTTCAGGTCTTTGACTCTATCTGAAACTCTTCAGATGCACCTCAAAATATCTCGAGCTATATCTCACCGGATTTTTCTCTTGAAATCTCTCAAAGTTGTTGAACATACATTATCCACTTAACAACCAAAACAACCAAATTTTATATGTACAAATAATTGCACTAACACAGAGCATATAGTCCATAGAACATTCTGCATAATACTAGCTAATGGTGTAAACATCAAGATTAAAAGTGTTGCACAAGTTTGAAGATTTAAAAAAGAAAAATAAATCTTTGTAGATCGGAAAGGCTGCAAGAGAATGGCATGGGGATCGGAGTTGTGGTGTTGCTTAAGCTCATCTTCAATGATCTCGCCAAGATGAACCGGCGGCGGGAGAGGCTCCATCTGCGGCTCCGCCTCCATGGACAATTCCGATGTTCGTGGGGGAGAGACGAAGAAACCGGAGACCACATGGTAGATTGCGACGGAGAGGGCTTGTATGGTGACGAACCTGTGTAAGTTGCATGGCCGTCTTTTAAGCGGTTCAACCGCTGCGATCGTACAGGACCCCAAAATTTGGGGGGTTCCATTTTATTTAAAAATTATTAATAATATATAATATTAAATATAATTATAATAGAGACGCAATAACTTTTTGACCGTTAACTATTTTTAATTAAATTAATTATTACGAAACGTCGCTTCGTAACCAACATTTATTAAAGCACATCATTACAGATTTTAAAATAATAATATTAAATAATTTATTAACGGTAACAAATTATTCTATAAAAATGGAAGATCAAAACCATTTATCACTCCACCTTACGCTCCACCTTACGTTCTCAGTTTACTATTCATTATTTTGTCCTTAAAATATTTTAGAGCATTTTTCATTTGTTTTTTCAAGGCTCAAGAGAATAACACATAAGGTACTTTTTATTTTTATTTTTTATTTCAATTGTTATTTATGTGATGATTTTGTTTATATTATTAAATACTAATAATATTGTTATTTATTTTCAGGTTTGATAGTTGGAAGAAAAATTGGAAAATCCAACTGAATTTCTAAATTCCAGGTTTTTTCTTAAATTTTTCTTATTTTTTTATTAAGTATTTAAATTTAAATATGTCTTCTGGAATTAGAAAATATGATTCTGGATTTGAAAAACGTAAAAAAAAGAAAAGAATTGAAGAATTAATTCAATCTCAAAAAGGAGCTTTAGATAAATTTGTTATAAAAAAACCACAAACTCTTAGTCAAAATGAAGATGATATTACTAATAATGTAGTAGATATGAATAAAAATGATGATATTAAGATTATTGATAATAATGATAGTTTACAAAATGATGAAAAAAATTCTTATGAAACTAATATACTTGATATTTTTTATCCAAGAAATTGGGATAATCTTGATTTTAAAATGATTGACATTTTAGCAGCGAATGGTCCTAAGAGAGATATGAATATTGAAAAAGGTAAAAAAGATAAATTTTTAGGCGATTTTCATCAATATATTATACTAGAATTTTATCAAATAGTGAAAAATGTGATAGAGATTGGCTTGTTTATTCGAAAGAACTAGATAAAGTATTTTGTTTTTGTTGTAAAATATTTTAAAAAAATATTGGAAAGGACCAATTAGCAAATGAGGGTTTTGGAGATTGGATACATCTTAGTATTAGACTTAAAGAACATGAAATGAGTGCAGAACATATAAAAAATATGGTCGGTTGGTATGATTTGCGTTTAAGATTTAAAAAAATCAAACTATAGATAAAATAGCTTATACACAACTTATGAAAGAAAAAGATCATTGGAAAAATATCATGTTTAGAATTATTTCAATTGTAAAATTTCTTTCGAAACATAATTTAGCACTTCGTGGAACAAATAGAAGATTATTTGAAAATAACAATGGAAATTTTTTGGGTTTAATTGAAATGTTGGCAGATTTTGATCCAATTGTTCAAGAACATTTGAGACGTATTACAGATGATGAAATTCATCATTATTATCTTGGTCATACTATTCAAAATGAACTAGTTCTTTTACTTGCTTCTACAATTAAAAATGAGATCATTAAAAATGTAAAGCAAGCAAAATATTTTTCTGTTATACTTGATTGTACTTCAGACAGTAGCCACCAAGAATAAATGTCTTTGATTATCAGGTATGTGAATATCTCTTCTGATCTTGTTAAGATTGAAGAATCGTTTTTAGGGTTTTTAAATGTGAATGATACAACTGGGCAAGAGATTTTTGATGTGTTACAAAATGAACTAAAATCACTTGATCTTGTTATAGATAATATAAGAGGACAAGGTTATGACAATAGATCAAATATGAAAGGAAAAAATCAAGGTGTACAAAATTTTTTTTAGATGTTAATCTTAGGGCTTTTTATACTCCTTGTGGTTCTCATAGTCTAAATTTAGTATTATGTGATATGACTAATACATGTGGTAAATCTAAAGATTTTTTTGGAGTTATACAAAGGATATATACAATTTTTTCTAATTCTACTAAAAGGTGGCAAATTTTGAAAGATAATGTAAAAGGATTGTCTCTAAAACCATTGTCATCTACCCGTTGGGAAAGTCGTATTGAAAGTGTTAAAGCGATTAGATTTCAAATTTCACAAATACAAGAAGCTCTATTAGAAATATCAGAAATTGATAATGATTCTAAAATAAGAAGTGAAGCTAAATCATTAGCGACAAATGAGCTTGGTGATTTTGAATTTTTGGTAGCAATAGTTATTTGGTTTGAAATACTATATGCAGTTAATTTGGTAAGTAAACATTTACAAGCAAATGATATGCATATTGATTTTGCTATTCAAAAGCTAAAGTGATGAGGACATCGGATCTAACAACATCTCGTAAAGAAGATCTTGGCGGAAGCATACACGGAGCAAAGGTAACGGCAAACCGAGTTCCACAACTGAGTTCCACCTCGGATCGAAGCCACCAAGTAAAAGAAAGTTGCTTGGAGTGCAAGACAATTATCTAAATGAAGCTTCTTCATCATCAAGGCAACTCCAACAACTAGCTTCCCAACCACCTCATTTAATGCAACATCAAGGCAACTCCAACAACTAGCTTCCCAACCACCTCATTTAATGCATTGGACTCCTACCCCTCTTGCATGTTCTTGTCATTTAATATTGTTGTTGAGAATTCTAGCCTATATAAAGGCTTGTAATGCATAATTTGTAACCAGACTTGTAGAATGTCTCAAACATTTTGAGTTTTATAAACTCTTCTTCGGTTTGTCCGAAATTTATCCCGATCTTCGGTGTATCCGAGATCACGAGTTTGGTATGTCCGAACTCAAGCCTTGGTGTGTCCGAGGTCCACTATCTACTCTTCCCCTTCGTTCCATCCATCTTCCTTTTCAGAATTACGTCGAGCATCGTTTGATCCGTGACTGATTCCAAGGACCACCCTTCCCCTTCGAACACCATACCCGGTCGAAAGTCGAGAGCCTTCTCCGTGAAGCGCGTGAGACTACGATTCGGCCTTGTTCCATCCTCTCCGAGTCAAGGCGTGTATCATAAAGGGTTTGATTTCTTTCTTTGAAAAATATAGAGAAACTGGTTTTTCTAATGCTTTAGAAATTGCTAAATCGATTGCTACGAAAATAGATGTTGATCATGTATTTAAAAAAAGACGTGAAATTCGAAGAAAAAAATCATTTGATGAGAATTCAGATGATACATCTTCTAGTAATTCATTTTCTCCTCAAGAACTATTTAGAATAAATTATTTTTTATATATTATTGACCAAGCACTTAGTTCATTTAATAGGAGGTTTGAACAATATCAAGAATATGAAAATGTTTTTGGTTTCTTATTTACTTCAGAAAAATTGCGTTCTTTGAATGATACTAATTTAAAATGTTGTTGTGATACATTTGAAAATGCTTTTAGAAAAGATGAACAATCTGATATTGATGGAAATGAATTATATATGGAATTAAAATTATTAGAGAAGTTTTACCTAAAGAAATGATGAAACCTATTGATATTTTGAATTTTTTGAAATGTATGGATTGTTTTCCTAATGCAATGATTGCTTATAGAATTTTATTAACTATTCCTGTTACTGTTGCATCTGCAGAAAGAAGTTTTTCCAAGTTAAAATTATTGAAGTCTTATTTGCGTTCAACAATGTCTCAAGAAAGACTCAACGAACTAGCATTACTCGCAATAGAAAATGATTTTTTAGAGAAAATTGATTATGAAGATTTAGTTGATAAATTTTCTATAAATAAAGCTAGAAGAACTATCTTGTTTAAATGAATGTTTAATATTTTTTATTAATTTAGTTTATTTGTATATTTTATTATATTAGATATGTTTGTATCATATTTTTTGAAAATAATATAATATTTTATTTTTAATTATATTTTAATATTATTTTTTTATTATATTAATTAATAATTTTTTTATTGTAATATGTACCGGGACTCTAAATTTGGTGAGACCCTGGTAAGCTGTTATGGCTTCCTTGAGCGTCTCCCATAGTTGCAGCGCCATGGATGATGCCTGATGGAGCTCCGGGCCAGACAGAGAGAATTGGCCAATGTGGTCACTGGTTTTATTCACGGTTTTTTTTTTTTTTTTTTTTACGTTTGGCTTTAAATTGAGATTTGTATGTACTTACCTGTACGTATATATGTATGTGTATGTATATATGTGTGTATGTATGTACGTATTTCCAATTTAATTTTTTAAAAATAACCCCTCACGTTAAAAGTTAAAAAAAGAAGTCACTCTGAATTTTATGTTTTTAAAAATCGAAAAGGAAATGACAATATAGACATAGAGATTTGTTCATTATTGTTGGTTATTATTAATTTTTAGTTGATCTATCTCAAAATATATTATCCATTCAAATATATTGACATTCGTTATACACAAAATAATCCGGTGCCAAAATGTGACTAAAATAAATTATAGTGTAAAATGCATAAATATTTATGAATTTATAAAATAATAAAAAACAAATTACTAAAATTTTTGCTTAACAAATTTATTCCCAAACTTTCAATTTATAATTTTTAAATTTGTTAATTGTTATCAGAAAAAACTTTAACGATGTTAATCTAAATAAGTTTGGAAATTATAATGAAATATTTTACTAGTTTTGGAATTATTATAATATATTTTATAAATTTAAAAATAATTTTTTTTGAAAAATTTAGAAATTAATTTTTAAACATTTAATTTTTTTGGGTTTTATCATTTATTATATTAATAACGCAAAACGTGTTTTGTATTTCAATTTGGACTTCCCATAAATGATAGGACTGGTAGGTGGGGACTGGGAGGAGAAAACAAAAACGTGACTAATAAACTCTTAACTTTTTTTTTTTGATAAAATAATAAACTCTAACTTGATATTGAGATCTAAGATAAACGGAAATTATTTTTGAATATCTTTCCATTCATAATTTGACATTTAAAAGTGAAATGTGTACTAGTTTATTTGATTTACAATGTGAGTATTTTAGTTGTAAAAAATATATATAATTTAATTTAGTTCTAGTACTAATCATAATTTTTAAACTAGATGACGAGGTTAAAAATTCAAAATTAAAACGTTATTAAACTACGACCATTTAGAATTAAAATAAACTGACGTCTCAATAAATTTTTTTATATTTTAAATTATAAAAATTGCAATATTTTAATATATATATATATATATAAACTATAAAGGATATAGAATAAATTTGATAATCTATTTTAAAAGCTATTTAAAAAAACTATCAACTATCTAATTTATACAAAATATCCACTTATAAAAATCCATCAATTTTAATTTTAAATAAAAAAATCCTATATAAATTATACCATTTTAAATAATACAACAAAAAAACTAAATATAAACTCATTATATTTGTGATCATTTTAATTCGTATAAATATTTAATTTTTATGATCATACTCATAATTTATATACATTATCATTTGTATAATAAACTTATATACAATTTTTATATTTAATACTCCAGATGAGTATTGTATATTTTATTAATTAGATTCATAATTGTATATAAAAATTTGATATTATATTTGATGTATTAATATTTAGATGTTCCAAACTATCAATTTATTTTTATAAAAAAGTGTAGATAAAATATTATATATTTCTTTATTTGTATATAAATTTATTATAAGAGATGGTGAATATTTTTTTAAAGTAAACGTGGTTTTTTTGTTCAAAACTAAAAATTAGATGTATAATAAATTTAAAATAATAATTTTGAAATTAAATAATGTATAATTTTTTAATATTCGAAGAACTTAAAAACAATCATATTCCAAGGTCCATTTAATATGTTGTCAGCAATTATTGGAATCTCGTGATCAATATCTCTATTTCATAAAAAGCTAGAGATTAACAAGGAGGATTTCAATTCAAATTGTATTTTTTATAGTTTATAATCGAAATAAATTCGTACTTCATCGAAAGTTACCGCAGCCAAAAGAGTTACCGCGGCCAAAAAAGAATCCTCCAAGTTCCTTCGTCTCCTCTTTTTCCAGCGCCCTCTAATATATATATTTTTTTCCACATCTCTATCGCTTAATTCTTCCCTTTTAGTTGTGGAGAGCGACCGAAAGGCTAACCCTAGTCATAGTCACCTTCCTCCCATCTCTCTCGCGACAGGTATGTCTGTCTACTCCTCTCTCGTCTCCCCTCGAGCAACCGGAAACTTCGACATCAGTGTCGGAGCCCTCCGCCGAGACGAATCCTCTGGAGAGTCTAAAGGCGCGCCTTCGAGGCGGTGGGGAGTCTTCTGTTATCGTTTTACTGAGTGAAATTGGATGTCTCAGATGGGGAAGGGTTTTTCTATTGATCGTTGTAGACTGGTTGTAAGCTTAGCAGAAATGGGGAATCTTCTGAACTTGCATAATCTTAAGTTTTCCGGTTATATTTTCCCCTCAGTTGGCAACAAGTATTATTCTCTGTTATGGCTTCCGGACTTTAGTTTATTTTCCTTTTTGTTTGTTCCAATGGAAAGACCTTCCCATTTCAGTTGGGTAGCTCGTCTCTTTGCCTAATGGATTTAGATTTCGGAGTAGCCTGTCATCTTCCCTGTTGAATTCAGACCTTCTATATGTTTAGGGCAGTTTCTGCAATCTAATGTTTCCTTTCTGCTCAATGGAAGACCAAACTCTCTTTGTAGATTGTCTTGTCTAGTGCTGCATTGTATTTATTTTCATTTCAAAGCGAATCATTCGGCTGAAAAAAAAAATTATGGTGCTTTATGAGAACCCTTTATCTCGAATATGATATCATGGCCAATCAAAATGTGCGTTTTTCTTAAAGAAAAAATTTGGGCTTATGATTGAATAGAGCCATTTGATTTTACCTTATACAGTTCTTTATCTAATGTTTACAATTTACCAAATGCAGCCTCCCACTCAGCAGTATGGGTAGAGTCTTGACTCTTTCAACTGTCTCTTCTTTAATTGGTTCCGGACGGCATGTTCAGTCCCAAGAAAATGGAAAACCAAGAAGGTGTGTAAAGATGATGTCCGGTCTACAAGCATCTGGGTTAAGGATGCAGAGTTTCTCGGGGTTGAGGAGTTCCAATGCGTTAGACTTCATGGCAAGGTCTGGACAGGATTTCCATTCTAAGGTCCGACTTCATATCTCCTCATGTAAAGGAAAGGGTTGCCGATTTGTACCAAAAGCAATGTTTGAGCGCTTTACGGAGAAAGCAATTAAGGTCATAATGCTGGCTCAAGAAGAAGCTCGGAGACTTGGCCACAACTTTGTCGGGACCGAGCAAATACTATTGGGTCTAATTGGAGAAGGCACTGGCATTGCTGCTAAGGTTCTCAAATCCATGGGAATCAATCTGAAAGATGCTCGTGTAGAGGTTGAAAAGATAATCGGGAGGGGAAGTGGATTTGTAGCTGTAGAGATCCCATTTACCCCTCGTGCTAAGCGTGTGCTGGAATTGTCACTGGAGGAGGCTCGACAACTCGGTGGGCATCTGCTTTTCATATTACTTAATATTTAGGCTCAGAGTTTGTTATGTTGTGATATATATGATCTTGTAGCACCACAAATACATTTACATGCCTTCTTGACCATTGCAATTCTTCTCAACGGGGAAATCTTTGTTATGTGAAATGCTAGGGCATAATTATATTGGGTCGGAGCATCTTCTGCTCGGTCTTCTTCGTGAGGGAGAAGGTGTAGCTGCACGTGTCCTGGAGAATTTGGGCGCAGACCCCAGTAACATCCGGACACAGGTAAAAGTTGCATTACTATGGTCCACGGAGAATTATTCCAATCAAGAATTCTTTGATCAACTTCTAATTACAGCTGGGATTATAATTTTGAGTTAAATAGGTTATACGTATGGTTGGAGAGAACAATGAAGTCACCGCCAGCGTTGGTGGAGGAGCCAGCAACAACAAGATGCCAACTCTAGAAGAGTATGGAACTAACTTAACTAAATTAGCAGAGGAGGTAATAATTGGCTATCCATTTTGAAAATTTTATCATCTTGGGATTGGATGTCGAGGGTTTTATGTTAAAGTTGTTGTTTTTCCTGGTGCAGGGTAAATTGGATCCTGTTGTTGGAAGGCAGCCACAGATCGAACGTGTGGTACAAATCTTGGGTCGGAGAACCAAGAACAACCCTTGTCTTGTTGGAGAACCAGGTGTCGGGAAAACGGCTATTGCCGAAGGACTCGCTCAACGAATTGCCGGTGGCGATATTCCTGAAACAATTGAGGGGAAGAAGGTAACAATCTCGGGCCATAGTCTTTCAGTAATACAGTACCTAATAATGGAAAATCATCGATGTGCTTGTTCGACATGACACCTTTCTCATTTGGATCTTTCTTTCTCTCTAAACCGTCAATGATTAGTCTAAAAGTTGAGAACTGTGCATGTGTTTGGTCGCGTGGTTCAAATGGTTTTTGAGTGATAGTTTTACATATTTTGCAGGTCATAACCCTAGATATGGGTCTTCTGGTGGCCGGAACCAAGTACCGTGGAGAATTTGAGGAAAGATTGAAAAAGCTTATGGAGGAAATCAGGCAGAGTGATGACATAATTCTATTTATCGATGAAGTGCACACATTGATCGGTGCGGGAGCTGCAGAAGGAGCCATTGATGCTGCTAACATCTTAAAGCCAGCCCTTGCAAGGGGTGAATTACAGGTGAGGTTACTGACTTTTTTGTTGGGTGTTTTCAAACTGTGGATCGATGGTCTGGAATTCAGATTGGGAGAGATGTGTTTATGTGTTCAGTGTATCGGTGCAACAACGTTGGATGAATACAGAAAGCACATCGAGAAAGACCCTGCCTTGGAAAGACGGTTTCAGCCCGTGAAAGTACCTGAACCAACTGTAGATGAAGCTGTACAGATATTGCACGGCCTCCGGGAGCGGTATGAGATTCACCACAAGCTCCGCTACACTGACGATGCCTTAGTCGCTGCTGCCCATTTGTCGCACCAATACATCAGGTACCTCTTTCTCTGAAACGGATAACATATGTCTCTTCTACACTGGTTTCAACTGAAATAAATTTCTGTACTTTCAGTGATCGGTTTCTTCCGGACAAAGCAATTGATTTGATTGATGAAGCTGGGTCTCGGGTTCGACTGCGGCATGCTCAGGTTCAAAGTGCATTCTTGTTTCCAATCAAATGTTTCGTAAATCAACATGTTTATCTGTTTGAGATTGATTTGAGAGGAAGTTTTGTTCATTATAGGTCCCTGAGGAAGCTAGAGACCTTGAGAAAGAACTCAGGCAGATCACGAAGGAGAAGAATGAAGCCGTGAGAGGCCAGGACTTCGAAAAGGTACAGTCTTTTACATTGTTTTACTGTCTAAAAGGTACAGCTTTTACAGTTTACAATGTTTTTTTGTCAACAGGCTGGTTCTCTACGTGACCGGGAAATCGAGCTGAGGGCTGAGATATCCGCTGTTCTAGCCAAAGGCAAGGAAATGAGCAAAGCTGAGAGTGAGGCGGGTGATGGAGGTCCAGTTGTCACGGATTCTGATATTCAACACATTGTTGCTTCATGGACAGGAATCCCTGTCGAGAAAGTCTCGTCCGATGAGTCTGACCGTCTTCTCCAAATGGAACAGACCCTTCACACACGGGTCATCGGTCAAGACGAAGCTGTCAAAGCCATTAGCCGTGCCATCCGTCGTGCTCGAGTTGGGCTCAAGAATCCGAATCGACCCATTGCCAGTTTCATCTTCTCTGGTCCAACCGGTGTGGGAAAGTCAGAGCTCGCCAAGTCGCTGGCTGCTTATTACTTTGGCTCGGAAGAAGCCATGATCCGTCTTGACATGAGCGAGTTCATGGAACGACACACTGTCTCGAAACTCATTGGGTCACCACCTGGTTATGTTGGGTACACCGAGGGAGGCCAGTTGACCGAGGCTGTCAGGCGGCGGCCTTACACCCTCGTCCTCTTCGACGAAATTGAGAAGGCCCACCCCGATGTCTTCAACATGATGCTTCAGATCCTCGAGGACGGGAGACTAACCGACAGCAAAGGAAGAACGGTGGATTTCAAGAACACTCTTCTGATAATGACATCGAATGTCGGAAGCAGTGTGATCGAGAAGGGTGGTAGGAGGATCGGGTTCGATCTAGACTCGGACGAAAAGGACAGCAGCTACAACAGAATCAAGAGCTTGGTGACAGAAGAGCTAAAACAGTACTTCAGACCGGAGTTCTTGAACAGATTGGATGAGATGATCGTTTTCAGACAGCTGACAAAGCTCGAAGTCAAGGAAATTGGCGATATAATGCTGAAAGAAGTGGTTCACAGGCTCAAGGACAAAGAGATTGAGCTTCAGGTGACAGAGAGATTCAGGGAGCGAGTCGTTGAGGAAGGTTACAACCCGAGCTACGGTGCTCGGCCGCTGAGACGAGCCATTATGAGGCTATTGGAAGACAGTATGGCTGAGAAGATGCTTGCAAGAGAGATTAAAGAAGGTGACTCCGTGATCGTTGATGTTGACTCGGATGGGAACGTCATTGTTCTGAACGGAAACAATGGCGGAGGAGCCACCACTGTTCCTGAAGCCATGGAGGATCCCATTCCAGGGTTGTAAGAAGAGGGTTTCTTCTTGTCTCTACTTAGGTTTCTGGATATTGATTCATCTGTCTTCTTTGGCAGGAAAGATGATCCTATTGTTTCTTCACCGGTTTAATTTTTCCGGTTAGGTGTTCAATCTGGTTTGCATGTTGGTCATCGAAACGAATCTGTTTCCCAAATAAGGGGTGAATATTTTGAGTTTTCGGTTTAGTCTCGGTTCAATTATTTTCAATTTTGGGTATTTTGTTCTTGGAAGAATTATATATTGGTTTGGTTTTCAGTTTAGTCTCGGTTAAATCGTTCGGTTTAGAATAACCGAAATGCCTATTGCCCACCTCTAATACCAAACCGAAACTTGGAATTTTTAAAACCGATAAGGAATGCCCTTTATTGGAGCGCTTGGTTAAACTTAAACCGGTGTATGCCGTAGTGAGAACTTAACCGGACTTCTAAACTGGAATGAGAGTGAAAGGACTCGACATTGAAAATTTAAATTAGGGTTTTATTTTAACAACTTCGTCTTCTCCACACACTGTTCTCTCTCTGGTGGTCACTGTGCTCCGCTTTGTTCCCTCTCCAACAACAACCTCGGAAATCTTCCACTGCGTTTCGTTCTCTTCTCCACGACTTGACGATCTTAGAATATTTCAGTTTTGTTGACGGCCTTAACTAGAGGTTAGTTGGAATCGACCTTCGAATAGCCTTTCTCTCATCTCTTTTTTCTGGCGTTTTTTTGTTGTCTCCGTTGGGCTTCATTTTCGTAAATTATGTTCCCGATGTCGATCGGTTTTCCGGGAAAGGTGAACAATTGGTGAGGGGGTCTAGAAAAATGTTCTGGAAGTAGTACGAGATTTTTCAGTTTCTTGTTTGGTTTCGGGGAAAATGTAGACTTTGTTGGGTGGCCGAGGTTGGGCAGGGAGAGCAAGCTCAATGGATTGCTTTACTTTTTATGTGTCTTAGAGAGGTTGATCTGATCGTCGTAGATGAAACGCAAACAGGAAAAAGGAAAACTGATCTTCAGGATTTATACGACGCAGGAATGAGTAAAAGAAAACGTCCGGACCCGAAATCACCAGCTGGTGCATTGAACGAACACGAGAGAAAGCTCTACGAGGTGATTCAGGCCAAGCAAGACATGGGCGCGAGTAAATTCGAGCTCAAAACTGCTACCGGCATTCTAGACAACATCGTGACAAGATCGCTTAATTCTCTCAAGACCAAGAACCTTATCAAGGAGGTCCAAAACATCAACAACAAGGGGTTCAAGCACTTTATGGCCGTAGAGTTCGAGCCCTCGAAGGAGATCACGGGCGGGGACTGGTACACCGATGGGAATCTAAACATGACTTTCATAGAAAACCTTAAGGAGATTTGCGTGAAACTGCTAAAAAGGCCTCGCACAAAGGTGATGACTTTGGAGGGTATGTGGAAAGATATTAGCAAGGCTACTCCAGTTAGCGAGAAACAGATCGAGGAGATACTTGAGAACTTGTTGTTGGATAACGAAGTTATGAAGGTGATGAGTAACGGGTTGGAAGATTTCGCTGTTGCGGGAATAGCTATAGGGAAGGTTTGTTACAAGTTAACTAGGAAACATGGCGGTGGTAATGAAGTAAGATTTGGAGCTTTGGCTTCAATTCCTTGTGGAGCTTGTCCGCAGATAAGCGATTGCACCCCTGATGGAGTTATCTCCCCTCAGACATGTGTTTACTACCAGAAATGGTTGGATTTCTAGGTCTTCTGATCACTGTTGTTGATCTCCATATAGGCTATTATTATGTTGTAGATGAATCCTGAAACCCTGATTTCAGCTTTCTTTCAATGGAAAGTCCTTTTCCTCTTTTTGGTTCTTTCACTCCTTTGTATAAGGTGAGGAGAGATTCCCTCTTTTTTTTTTGTACTAAGTTTTGATATTTTACCGGTTCAGTGAGGCAATCAAATGGCGGCTGTTCCTTGATCCTGCTGTTAGGTTTTTAGCTGCAATGTCTGGAATTCAGTGTTTATGTTTGCCAGAGATTTGACATGTTTCGTCTGTTTATTTGCTTTTTAAAGCGTAGTAATTATATCATCTTAATTATTTGTTAATCACTACCAATAATCCCTAGCCTTGTATATACCAAGAAGTAATAAAAAGTACAAAAAAAAACTGATGATAAAAGGAGGGACAGCACTGGTTTTCATTCGACACCTTGCTGTTTTCTCTTAACTAAGTTAAACTACGCGCCGTCAATTATTAGCTGGATCTATCCCCCGAAAAACTGTTGCCGTTTCAAAATATTGAAGCACGAACTACAAGCTGTTCGATCAACCTCGGCGCCGAGGAAGGAAACCGCTCTCGTCACCGGAAAAAGCAATGAGGCTCTTGCAGCGGGTGTTTCTGTTAGCTTCTTCAAGCACCGGAATCTCCGCCATTCTCATCTACAATACTGGAGTCTCCAATTTCTGTAAGTATCGCATTTGTTGTTCCACTGCGCTCACTCACGCATACAGGAGGGAGCCCCTAATAATAAAAACGACAATTCATTATTCATGACGATCCGGGTTCATGCGTTATTCACTTAATTTTTTCTTAGCTGTATAGTTTCCGAGACGTGCTTTCTTCCAACTGCTGTGAGTATATATATGCATTCAGTGCTTACATAATCGCAAGACTTCACGTTATCAACTGTCCTCGGTAGTTTTCATTTCTCAACAGCAAGTTCCGATAAATAAAAAAGTTAAATCGCCAAAAACATTATGTAGGTCAACGAAAAAATCCCTATACTTTTTTTTCTTACCAATCAAAACCTATACTTGGTGTGATTAAACTATAAAACCCCGAACTCTTTAAAAATTCACCGGAAAACTCCACGTCTGCCAATTCAAACAAAAAATGATGATGTGGCGATGACATGACTTCCAAATCATGACCACAACATCATTTCAAACAAAATTTAAATTAAATAATTTATTTAAATTAATATATATATATTAAAAATAAAATTAATTATAATTTATAAAACACATATACACATATCTACAATATATATATATATATATCATTACTAATGCGTATATATTAAAATAAAAATAATTATAATTAAATTTATATACATACATAATATACATATTAAAATAAAAATAATTA